CTTATTCAGAATAATGGACGCGGATGACGAAAGGTTAATAAACGAACAATTGAGTCTATTGGAAAATAACGAGAAAAAACTAAAGCATGCGGTAGCAAACCAATTACAAGTCTTAGATAAAATAATAGGACATCTGAGCACCCTTGAAGAAATTTTAGAGGAAAACAATGACTTACTGATGACCAGTATAAACAACTCTCTATGAAACAAAGTGAATTTATTGAAAGAGAAGAAGTAAATGAACATTTTACAATTTTAAGTATGATTACCGACCTTATGCATGATCAAGAGGATATAATGATCTTAACCAACATAAATCAAGGAAACTTGCCACAACAGATAACACCAGTAGAAGAAATAATCAAGAATCTTAAGGAAACAATAATACAACTACCTGAAGGCACTCATTTCCCAATTACCCTTTCAGTAGAGAATTGGCTACAAATAAGCAAATATATATCAATTAGCGCGTACTATAAAAAAGGAAATATATTTACTATTTTAAAGATACCATTGATAACTTACCCGGCTTATGAAATAATACAAGTAATACCACTTCCCATATATGTACACGACAACATATTCGCATTGACCGACGTCGTAAACATCAAAATCGCTGTCAATACAGAGAGTAATACATATTTAGTATTAACTGAAAACGAATTAAACAAATGTATTAAGTTAGGGAACCGATGCTTTCACAACACTTCAATATATCGTATACACTCCGATTCACCCTGCGAGATCCAAATGTATACCGCACGAAAAACACCTCAGACTTGTAACATTAATTATGTAAAAATAAACCAAACTGTAATTATTTCCGTGATAAGAAAAAACGTTTGGTTGTATTCAACGCAAAGCACACAACCAATGCTCATACATTGTAAGAACAACGCGGAATATCGAGAAAATCTTAAAATTAGGAATAATTCAATTTCGACAGCAGTGTAGGTTGACAATAGAAGATATTATAACACAGGCTCAGGAGATGTTTGAAACCAACAAAATACAAATAAATACATCGGAGTATAATCTCACGTTTCTTCAAGAGACCGTGGCAAATCAGGACAGAAACAATACGGTACAAACACTAAAACCAAAGAAAGTGAGACAAAACCCCGCTGAATTAACAAATTTAGGAAAAAGGTTGTCCGAAATACGCCAAGATCTAGAAAGTCAAAATTCTTTCGAAAACATAAGTATTTAATTTATTCAACCGCGTCGAATGGAATAACTATTATAATTATCCTCATCGTTATAATATTAGTACTAAAAAAATTACGAAACATTACGGAAAATAATCCAATTGTTATAGCACGCAACGGCGACATAAGATAAGATATAGAAATACCTCTCTGTAAATTGGGAGAAACCTGTCGAAACAAAACCAACGAGTAAAAATAATGTAATAGTTAAAAAATAAACGATTATAACAAAATATTGTCAACGGGAAAACTATTGTAAGCGAAAACGTTCCTCCGTTTTCTTTCACCAACAGGGGAGGGATATTGTAAGCATAACCACGAGACGTGTCGCTTGCCATAAACAAATTATGATCGCACGTTGCCCCAGTAACGTCACCTTGAAAAAAAATGCTACTCTGCATTCTGGCGAATGCAATACCGAAATCATGGTTGGTCAGCGTCCACACCCAAGTGACACTGACACATCAGAACTATCCCCTCTGATTGAGACAAAGGAAGAGGATAAAAGGGACGCGAGATCGAACTCAGGGGGCGACTCTAGATTTTCAGCTCTCGGGGACCGACACGCTGTCAGACACACCAGAAACACTGTATCGGGCGGAAAACATAATAAAGATAAGTTCACCTTTGAACGAGAGATAATTTATTGTCACCATCGCCTTCCGTTCTACCGCGCTGTGACGGGCACCCCACACTACTTGCGTCCACTCGACTCACGCAACAAAAATAAAAGGATTCGTGTCAGACTTTATAAATCAAAAACTCAAAAGAAAATAGGACCTTTTTAAGAGCCACAGCGCGATAATTGTAGCGGTAATTAATTAATTAAATAAGTTCCCTTAGCGAGACATAAGTTGCAAAACTATAATGTCTTTATATATACTCGTATATATATATATATATATATATATATATATATATATATATACTGTGACACTGATACTGTGACATTTTTGCTACGTAAGATATATATTAAAGGTTCTAAAACGTATGTTCTTTAAGGGGCCGAACACTAAAATTTTCAAAAAATCAATTTTTTGACCAAAATTTTCAAAAATCGATTTTTTATTTTTTTGCTAAATCAATAGTTTAGACATCGAAGAACATATATGTAAAGTTTCAAGTAAAAATTCGAGCTCTAAGTATTTAAAAAGAGCGTCAGACGCTGACGTGTTGGCCGAGCGTTTTTGGACGTTTCGGAGCGCTGCACGCGTATAGTAAATATAACCTTAAATTTAGTGAACACAACGCGCTCTTGCTTTGTTGACAAAAGTTTTGATTTACGTGTTTTTGAAAGTTAAAAACATTGTGATTGTTTAAATAATGGATAAAAGCGGTAAGAGGCACTCTGCTGGAAAGACGACAAAAATTCGCGCCGAAATCTACGTTTAGTGGAGCCAGAACTGTACAAATTGCAGCTAATATCGCTACTATTATATTTAATAATGGTCATACGGCTCTTCTCCGTGTTAGAACTCATGGGAGTTCGCATTGGAATGAATCTCTACGATTATTGTCAAAAAATCGACGAAGATCGCATAAAGTACGCGAATCGTCGTACACAGGCTAACACGCACGAAGGACGTTTGCATGCCCAGCAAGCACTTCGAAGACAAACTATGGATGACGAAGAGCTGCTATACGTATCCAGCGATAGCAGACTAATAAAATAAAACACGTAAGACCTTTTTTTTACCTTATTTCATTCGATTTACCCCTTTCAAAACTTAATACGCGTTTTTCTCGAAACCATGTTTTTTGACCGCGTTGACAGCATAACTCGAACAGTATTAATCCGATCGACCTGATTCAAAACGGATTTTGTAGAGGAAACGTGTCGCTATGGCATGACGTAGCCGTTTTTTGATACATGCCATACTTTTTTTTTATAAACAATTTAGTGCAAAAATTTACGCAAAAAAAAATTTTTTCTTAAAATAGCCGCCATTTTTTTTCTAATCACAATTTTCAAAATCCCCTACGTCGGGCTATAGCCAGTAATATATATTTAAAGAATCTTTTTTGTTTTTTGCTCTAGGACGCTCCGTTTTGCTGGAATGCTGTCAACCACCCAAGGGTCATTTAAAAAAGACGCAATTTTAGATTAGCTGCAGAAAAAACAATGGCCGCCACAAAAAAATAAAAAAAATTTTTTCATATAATTTATACATTCATAAACATATGTGTAAAGTTACATGTAAATCGGTTAATCCGTTTTTTTTTAATAAATAAAATAAAAACTATATGAAATATCGCCGTTTACAGTGTTCGGGCCCCTTAAACGTTCCCACTTTGTTTGAATATAACCAAACCAAGTGAACGCAAAGCGAACGTTCCTCGAACGTTTACATGCTGTTTGGGGAGTAATGTAGATTAGAAAGAGTTGAGTGAATGTGTATGTGTATATATGTATGCACATAAAGTTATGTAAGTATAGAATGTTACAAAATGGAAATTAAATAAGTAAAGGAAATTAAATACAAGGGTCATTCAAATATAAACCGGATTGTTTACTGCGGACTCAGAAAGAGCCGCAAGGGAGTCGAGGCGCTCCAGGCAGTTAGGTAGAGATGTGTGGAGGGGAGCGACCGCCCGCAACATTGCTGTTCCCTCGTCAGTAGCATCAGCATGACTGAACAAGAGGTACCTATGACTGTTGCACAACGCATTATCATCCAATTTCTCGTCAACGAAGGCGTCAAACCAACTGAAATTTTGACCAGCCTCCAAACATAGTTTGGAGATAGTACCCTGTCAAGAACCCAAGTGTTTGATTGGGCCCAAAAATTTCGCCGTGGTCGTGATGCTATGGAAAATGAAAGTCACGAACGTCGTCCGCAATTGAGTATCACTGAAGAAAACATTCGGGCCGTTCGTGAACTTGTGGAAGATGATCGGCGCCTAACTATTGTCAAAATTTTATCGAAGGTAGGCATAAGTATTGGGAGTGTTCACACAATTCTCTCAGAATATTTTAGATATCATAAGGTGTCAGCAAGATGAGTCCCACGTCTCCTCACTGAGGCACAGAGAAATGTCCGGAAAGACATCTGTCAGCGGCTTTTGAATCGCTTTAAAGAAGAAGGAGAGGCATTTTTAAAACGAATTGTGATCTGTAACGAAACGTGGGTTCATCACTATACCACTATACGGTTGAGCAGTACGTGCGCAATTGACTGTTGGAGCACCCTTTTTCTTTTTTTGATGAGGGTATCAAGAAGCTACCTATCCGATGGAGAAAATGCATTTCCAAAAGGAGAACTATATAGAAAAATAATATATCGCTTTTGTAATTTTATCTGTTACCAGTAAATCTGTAAAAAGAATCCGATTTATATTTGAATGACCCTCCTAGATAAATATAGCATTACAGAAAAATAATAAGTAAAACCTTAGAAGAACACGAGTAATGAAGGAATTATAGTATATTTATAGTACATAAAAATTCCGATGTATGTTAAACAATAGTATATTTATAGTACATTAAAATTCCGATATATGTTAAATAATAAATATACAATATTTCACGAATGTAGTTACAGGAATTAATTGGAATGGGATATATGAGACTGAATATTATTTTACTTTTCTTAAAATTTCCTGTGTTTATATAAATAATGTATAATGAAAAAATAAGCAGACATGAGGGATGTTTCAATTCAAATTAAACTGTTAATACGTAACTTGATGTCATTAAAATTTTTATTCTTCATATTTGTTGGTATCTTTATTAGTATCATTTTGTGTCGTTAATTCTTAAATAAGGATATTTATTGCGACATATATAATTACCTCATCGCTAGCTGCCTGAGAGGTTTGTGCGTGCATTCCTCCAACTTCTATCGCATTTGGTGGCAAAGGAATTGCAGATTCGAACGCAGGATGACTATTAATTAATAAAATACTAATATCTTTTTCTATTTCGTATAACGGTCTTATTTCGTGACCAACGTAACGTTCAGCAAGTTGTTGAGCTTTGGGTAAATAATAATAATTTCGAAATAAATCATCAATTATATAATTAATAGCATTCCATGTTCTTTGCCAAAAACCTTCTGGTCCCGCGATGCCTAAATGACAATAAGGTCGAATTGTAGGATAGTTGGAACCGCCAACAAAATCTTTGAACCATGGTGCAAAACCAAATGGAATGAAACCCACTACGGGCGGCTTGCCTTTGGCGACCTAAAAATCATAAATATATGAATATATATATTAATAAATAAATAAATAAATAAATATATATATATATATATATATATTGGGAGTACAAATTAGTTCGGTCCGTTTTTGTGATCAAAATGTATTTATTTCAGAACAAAATGAATGAACAGATTAATCAAAGTATTGTCCATCGCTGGCTATTACTTTTTCCCACCTCTCAGGCAATTTTCGAATTCCATCTCGAAAAAATGTCTCGTCTTTTGAGGCGATCCAAGTTAGGAGCCAATTT